CCACAATCCAACCCTGCCCCTCAGTGATGGCTCTTGATAAGAATAGTAGGTCCGAACTCAAAGAAGACAATTGGGCTGGAGCAGTACCGAGGAACGAAGATAACAGCACCGTCATCCTTATACCTTGAACGGCGTTTGTCGATAGAGGGAATCCTAATCAAACTCGAAGCGGGAAAAGAATCAACTAGGAAGTCGGCTCCAACCCGCGACCTTACAGAAGAGAAGCTGGCCGATATGGCTTCCATGTAGGCTCGTGATCTTATGATAATTATGTCTACAAGAGGAGCAACATCTTGGCGGCCTGTTGCCAAAAGAACCATGGTTTGGGAGCACACAAGAACAGGACACAAGCTGACAGCGAGCCATTTGCGTGTATACAACCGCACGAGGCGATGCCAGGTTACCAGTGCCGCCCTAGCATCTTCAATCACACTACTCATACACGTCCCTCATCATTACAAAACTTGCGCAGGCGTCTGCGGCACGCTTCGTCCAGCCTTCAGGCTCTGGCGAGAGCCCATGCCGTCCCCTTGAGTGCTTGCCGCCGAGAGCGCGCGAGCTCAACCGATCACCAACGCCAAAAATATGCAATGTCCAGTACTGGGGTACCCACCACCAGTTCGAACTCCCGTGATTCCCTAATGCCCGCTTCGCCTCGCCCACGATGATGCCATATGGTGGAAGTCGAGCAAATGTAGAAATAAAAGTTGAATGACTCAAGAGAGCTAGTTGTTTTTCTGGCTGTTGGCAGACCGTTCCTTCATCTCCACCTTCTTCTGCCCAAGGTCAATGATCCTGGGTACCAACTTCTTTTGGCTGTCAAGCTCGATGACATCGTCGCCTCCACCTATGCTCACACTATTTACCAAGATGTTGGGAACTGTCTTCCGGCCAGTCTTCTCGCCGAGGAAGGCCTGCAGCTGAGGGCCAAGAGGATGCTTATCCAGTTCGACAACGTATGGTGTGGGCTCGATCGAGTACTTTTCGAGCAATAATGCCTTGGCCTTCTTCGAGTACGGGCAGTAAGACTTGGAAAAGATGATGACTTGGTCTGGTTAGCTGGCATTCGTTTCACGAGTCTTGACGTTAACATACCTGGTGACTTCTTCAAGATGGAGTTCAACTCAACCTCGACAGCATGTTCCTCATCGCTCTCGTCCTTCTTCTTCTCCTCCTCTTCAGTCTCGGAGACTTCTTTACCATTGGCCGTCTTTTCCTTCTTCTTTTGTCCGGCAGCAGAGTTGCCCTTTCCGACGACGTCGCTAGGCGCATCAGGCTTCAGTGGTGATTTCTTGTTGGCAAGTTCCTTGGCCTTGTCTTCGGCGGCCTTCAGGCGTCCTTGCATATCCTTGGCGAGCTTCTCGTCGTCGGCGTCAACGTCGCCATCGGCATCTTTGTCAACAGGCACGTGGCCAGCTGCCTTGGGCTTATTCCCTTCCAGCACCGCTTGGCCCGGCGGTTGTTTGTGTTTCAGTCCATTGACCGTCTTGTGGTAGAAATCTTGAATGGTCCGCTCGTCTTTGACCTCGTTCGCTCGCAAGGAAGATGTGTAAAACAACACGAAGACGACACCAATCAGCACACCCACCAGGAGGGTGCGCAACTGCCTTTGCGAAGGCATCTGGAAGATTCTGTGTCGCGAAATGGCCGACGCTTGCAAGGGTATTTAAATGCGACGTGAGAAGCAGATTCGAGAAGTCGGTACTGAGAGTCGCAAACACGTCAATGGCGAGCGGCAGGATGGTACAACAGGCGGTGCGTCCCTCGTAAGGCTTTGTCGGTGAATGCCACGGTGGCTGGGAGTCGACAGCGGTGGGATCAAAATCGAGGAATGGCTGCCGCTGTGAGGCTCCCTTTTGTGTAACGATGCAGAAGCCCAAGCGTATCGGAGCTTCCCCAGCAATTGGGCGCTTTGAACAGGACGTTTCGAAGCCGGCGAGCGATGGGAGGATGGACCAGAGGAAGTTCCCCAATAACGGCACAAAGGGTACAAAGGCTCGTTGGTGATCGCAAGCAAAGGTGTAGTGCTAGTCAATTGTCGGATGTCGAGAAAGAAGTGCGTGGTTGTAGGCGTCGCGCGCGCTATCGTGAAGTCGAGAAGTGTCAAAAGGGGATGAAGGAGATGGTAGGTGAGCTATGGTAGGTAGGAGTGGGATCGACAATTTGGCTCCCGTGACTAACCACTCCAAGTGCGCTGGCAGGATGGCAGGTTGGAACAGACGGGGTACCTAAGTAAAAGGTACACGATGCGCAGTAGGATGAAGCCAGCAAGAGCCAGGTCGTCAATACCTCGGAAATGCTGCTTTGCTGGCGACTTCTCATCCCGGGGGAAGAGCTGAGGTGCGCCAATCCCCGAAGCCAAACCGCGACGGAAAATACCCGGGCCACTTGAGCGCGCCAAGATTAAGTACCTCGAACCCCGTATATGCACATCACCATCGGAGGCCAGCTTCGGTGGAGGTCCGGCTTTATGCACCAATCAGTGGGTCCGAGCAATACCGTCTTTAACAATCACCCATACTGTACATAATGCCTCTACACCCAGCTTCAAAACAGTATATTTCTATGCATCTATACGGCTCGGGTGATCGTCATCCTGATGGATCGTGGGGCCGTTCTCCGTGCGCAAAGGAAACATGACGGGACGGCTTGACTCGATTCGAAACAAAAACACATCTCATCTTTTCCTCGCCGGAGCCTCAGTGTACAAATCACAGTGACAGGTTGTCAATCGTCAATCTACTCAATTATTCCGCGGCTGCGTCAAGACGATAAACCTACCAGGTGCCAAGTACTCCAAGGTCATCAGCATGCCGTCATAACGAAAGGGAGACATCTCGAACCGCCAACGTTTCTTTAGCCGCTTCAGACTGAGAACCTGCTGGCGAGACGATTCTTGTCTCCGAGAGACTTGAGCAGCCCGCCGTTACAGTGTTACTCGATGCTAACAGGGATATGGAAGCGGTGCTGACACGATTTCGCCAACAGATCGCCCACGCTTACCAGCTTTCCCTGTAACAGATGGAGAACTTCATCCCCATACCTGACGCAATTACCGACAATCGCATTTCAGTATCCAATTCTTCTCAGACAAGTCCAGCAGGTTTTTCGCCTCAGCCAACGATCAACATCAAGCAAGGCACCTCGAAAAATCAAGAGAAGCGTCCATTATAGGCGAAAAGTGGTATTATTCTGCATTCTAAAAATATCGCCAGCCCTATCATCAACATCAAGTGCTATCGTCGCGCGTCCCGCCGATCCCGCGGCGGGCTCGGTTTCTTCATCTCATCATTCCGCACACACACAACTACCAGGTGGCTTAGTCAACAGCCGCCAGGACCATAGCTGCTCAAAGCCCAACTCATGCCAAATCTAAATACAAGCATTCGAAAACACGCCTTTCCATCACGGTCTCTCTCAAATCTCACGCTGAAATTTGTTATGCCTGACAACAGCGTGAGCTCGCAGCAACCGCATCGCAGAGTCAGCATGCCGGCTGTCGACGATATCCGCGACCGACCTCACGCGGCTCTGCCCTCGACCCATCGCCGCCAGCTTAGCTCGGTCAGGTAACGTCTGTTGGTCGCGGACTGGGTTCGTCCTCACTCCTCGTAGTTGCTGTGAGTCGTCGGAGTCTGAGTCGACATGGTCTGATGCTGCATCATTGTGCTTTGGAGACGGAGGAGGCGTCAACGTCGACTCAACATAGGGTGACGGTGATGATGGCTTTTCCGTGGCGATGAGATTTTGAAATAGTGGTACGATGTCTCTGAAGGTCTTCATCGCTTCGGGTTCGGGCTCGGCTGGCTCGACTTTCTTGTTTAACTTTGCGTGCTGGTGGCTCAAGTGAGCGTGTGTTGCGGCGCGTTCTCTGTGGCGCTGGAGGTGAGAGTGAAGCGACGATGGTGCGGCCTGTGCTTGCGAAGAAAGAAGCAGCAGAATTCCAAAGAGGGCAGTGGGCTGCATTATCGTAGGCGGGTTCGCGTGGCGTTTTTAAATTTCTGGACTCGATCTCGAGGTGGCTGGCTAGCTGGCTGGCTGAGCTTGATGAATTCCAGAGCTGAGGTTGGTAAACTCTCGTTCCCTTTGCAGTGTTTTGTATATGTTGGCTGTCTCGAGAGGTCTAGAACGGAACTGGAGGGCGCCGACGGTTTATATCCCAGACTCAACGGTTTTTTCTGCTACCAGACAAATGACGCAGGAAAAAACACCACAAACGTCATCAAACGGTGTCCAAAGTTGGAACAATCACGCCGGCGTCAAACGATGAAAAACCCGCCTTCGATCGGAATGTAGCCCTCCTCCGTCTCGGTGTGTGCCTCCCACCTAGGTCAGAACGATTCAGACCCTGTGATGCTTCAAGCCCGGTGTAACGTGTAAGCCGTGGGGCGCGAGAGCCCCCTTCCAGGGTCTGTCTGAGTCAACCACCCAACCCCTTCCTTCACAACACCACACATAACACCACAGCTGTCATTAATGACCTCTTCAAAATGCCTGTACCCCCCGAGGCCAAGAGAATCGTACAACGCCAGTGCTTCATTCAGTCTTAGGGATTGCCATACCGACTTTTCCATAGGATGCGGAGACTTCGATCGTCAGGCTATGCCCAAATTTTGTGTACGAGTCTGGTTCAAGGGTTATCCGCAGTAGACGATTGTCGTGTCCATCAAACGACACATCATACCTAGATGAATCATGGGCAAATATCAAAACTTGTTCAAGTTGATCTTGAAGAAACAAATTATCTGCCGCTTGTCAGCTTACTTCGCTTCTCTTGGGTTGGTTTTGTCTGCCTAAGGGTGATGCAAAAAGGGCACTGAAGAAGAGGGGAAAAGTGTCATCTGCAGCGATTAGATAAGAAACTTGCCTATTCAGGCCATCACCTGAACGCTGACTGGGCACGCTCGAATTCCCTCACCTCCTCGCCTGTCAACAAAGCCTTGCCCTCCTTCTCCTACTCCTCGTGCCCTTTCGTTTCACCTCTCCCCTCCATCTTCTTCCTCCTCTTACCCATCCATCCTTTCTTCTTTTTAGGAAGTTTTCACTTTTTTCTGACTCTGTTTGCCCAGGGTCAGGGTCCTTCCGAGACACCTCCTCTCTTTCAGGCCGATGTAAGTCACTCTCCCCTGCCTCCCAGCCCCCCGCAGACATCCCACTTACACACTTTTGCCAACCCAGACGGCAGACCTGCCACCCCCTTCCCACCCCCTTCTGCACGAAGAGAATACAAACCCTCGCCACCCTCTGGAATTCTTGAACAAAGGCACACCGCCGAGACCTGTCAACCGTCAGCAATCTTTCCAGGTCTGGACCCTTTGTCGTTGATCACCCGGGACGCAAACTACCCGGTCTCTCCACCTACGCACGACCGAAACGGGCCACAACCGTCGAGAAAAGGGAAAAGCCGAACCACACAATCGAGTCAACAAGAAACTTTCATACAAACACCACAATGTCTCGCTCCACCGCCGAAAAAGACCCTTCCATCTTCCCCCTCACCGGCGGCTGCGCCTGCGGCAACATCCGATACTCCCTCAATGCCCCGCCCATGGTCGTCCACTGCTGCCACTGCACCTCCTGCCAGCGTGAGACCGGCACCGCCTTCGCCCTCAACGCCGTCGTCGAGGGAGACGAGGTGACCCTCCTCCCGAGCAAGCCCGCCTCGCTGCTGCAGCCGCTGGCGTCGTTCCCGGAGTCTGCCTTTGATGATTGGACTCCCAGGCAGCATCAGCAGTCCAGGCCCGCCGACAATGTTCACGGGACGAGCGAGAACAAGGGCAAGGGCGATGATGATACTGATGATGCCGGCAAACGCCGCGTCCAGGCCGGTATCCCTTCACCCGTGATCCTCCCCGTCCCCGCCGACTCGGGCGCCCCTCAGCACATTGCTCGCTGTCCCGCCTGTCTCACGCCCGTCTGGAGCAACTACGACGGTACAGGCCCCCTGATGAAATTCCTCCGCGTCGGCACCCTCGACGCCCCTGCGCTGCTGGGCGGTCCGGATGTCTACATCTTTATGCGCAGTAAGCTTCCGTTCGTCGAGGTTGCGGACGATGGTAAGCCCCGCTTCGATGAATTCTATCCTACCAAGGAAGGCGTTTGGGGTCCCCAAGGTCTTGCGCGCCGGGAGAAGCTGCTCGTTCGGATTAGAGAGTGGAGGAAGGAGAATGGGCTGGATGGGTAGTGAATGGCGGTCAAAAGTGAGCGATAATTCAGAAATGGCATGTTTTGCTTGAATATTGCTGGAATTTACTCTTGTCTCTTGGTTGCATCCCTGTCTTTTCTTTCATGCCGTATGTTTCCTTCTGTCTATATTCCAGTCCTTTTTGCCAGAGAGGGGTGACCGGCCGTATGGGTCCCAAGGTCAACACTAGACCAGCTCGAGGTGCCGGTTCAAGTTTCTTGCTTCCTATCCAGACTAGACCCTCAGTATTGTGTACTATCTGGAGGAAGGGATCGGCGATTTAACCTTGACACAAAGGCAGTTGGATCTAAGGGAGTAATGTGAAACGTTCTCATATACCTAGCTTTAGGACTGACCGGTTCCCTGGGTCGTCTAGACAGCTTTTTCGCGGTCCAGGCCTGGGAATGTCTTAGGTTGCTGCCAAGGCCGAAGCAAAGATCCAGGCTCGGGCCCAGGCTCCCTTCAAGGGTTCAAATTCTACAGCGTTGGGTATCAGATGACCGTTACGCTCCCTTGAAGATGTGCTGCTTTGCGATTTTTGCCCGAGTTATGTGATGAAAGATTTCGGAGGTAACCTGAACTTACGCAAGTCTTTTGGCGAGGAGGATAAGGTCCGCAGGATCGGTCATCGAGCTTAAGTTCTCGGAAGTAGCCGTTAATGGGATATTCCGGACAGTGAAGGGGAGAATTTGGAGTTTGTTGGGGTTATCGACATGGAAATAGGAAGACTCGTGGCCTAGAGCTTCTAAGGAAAGGTAATTCGGAAACTGGTACGAGGCAAGAGTCCACCACGAGTCCCAAACGTGTCATCGAATTCATGACATGGTCCGGCCTCTACTATGTACCCGGGCCCACACTGCTTTTTCGACAGTGTTCTTGACTGAGTTGATTCCCGTTTCCTGATCGTCAGCAGTAGTGTGTTACCATCTACTAGAGTCGACAGAAGCCTGATCATCACATATTTTGTTTTCGGATATGAGGATCGCTGGCTTGGTGTATTGTTATGTATCCATGAATCAATAAAAAACTAGAACCTTTTCCCTTCGTCTGGAGCAATAGGGCCGTGAAGGTGACGCCGATGCAAGGTAGATGGCGCTAACCGAGCCTCCCCATGACAGCATGCCTACCCGAGGTTGTCAATCTGCCACCCAGGTCCCAAACTTTCATCCGATCAATTCTATCCCCACCCAGCCTGGATATACACCAGAGAAGAAAACCATATAGGTCTCGTCAATTCCATTTCCGTCACCAGCACAGCAGGCGCCCTCTAGGTCGGGGGTCAGGTCAAACTGCGGCGTGGGTGGTGGAGTGGTTTAACGGTCAACGAATTATTCGCGCCAACCAGCCTTACCCGACGACAGGCTCAGCGAGTTCGACTCCCAGCATGAGCGCCAAGAGATGTAGCCCCTAAATCGGCACCGGGGGAGGGTGAACTCTTTTTACTTGCTGTTGTGAATTGAGATTAGAATTGAAGGACGATTGTAATTGTTGTCAGAGGATCTTATCTTTCGATTTTATACATGCATCTCTCCTGGGAGTTCGATGCCATGACGGAACTCGTTAATCGACCGAGTCCTTTCAAGCCGCCTACCTTATCAAGATGTGCAAAGTGGTAGACTACGTCTTGCAAGACGTACATAGGATCGATCACCCGGAGCAGATAGATCCACCTGCCAATGTCGCAGCTCCAAATAATGTTTTTGAGATAGTAATAGATTTATGAGACAGTGCCTTGGAATGATCATCTTTGGTACCCAGATACCCCTAGCCATTTGGAAGTGACTCAATAAACGGTATGAGATAAGTCCATGTAGTCTTGGCTCATAACATAGCAGACCTTGATAAACCGTTCAAAGAGATTTGCGCATCGATGCAGAATGAGTGAGATGCAGTCGGCCATCGTGATTGAACTGATAAAGATTGCTTATATACCGCCAGGGCTCATGCTTCATCTGGCTCAACTATGTACGAATAACGCTAAATATATGTACGTGCTGAAAGTAAACGATATTTACGCAGTCTCCATCTCGAAGAAAAGGCTCTCCAGCGACTGTGAGACGAGCCGATGTCAACATAAACAATCCTCCTTCCACACACTACTCCTGGGTATCCCGTCATCAATTGTGGAAAGACGCCCTCTTAGATACTCTTGAAGGTATCCAAGCTAGACAGGGCGGTACCCGGGTACGCGAACAGGGTGTTGGAGGGGCAGCTAGAGCCGAGGGCCTGGTTGTTCATCCTGTGATTTGTTAGTAGATGTTATGACAAGTAAACATGAATTAAGAGAATCTCACCATGCGGGCTCCCAGTAGTAGAGACCCTTTCCGTTGCTAACACCGGCAACAACCTCGGCAACCTTCTTCAGGAAGGTCGTCTGGCCGGCAGCGGAGAAGGGGATGCTCTTGAGATCGCTCGGGAAAGCGTACGCAGGGCTGGGGCAGCTCGTGGGCCAGTTGGTCTCGGCGACGACGATCTCCTTGCCCCATTTGGAGGCCAAGTTGGACAAGCTCGACTTGAGCGCGGCAAGGGTGGCGCCGGATCCGTAAAAGGGGTAGTAGGAGACGCCCATTATGTCAAAGTCGGTGGTCTTGAGCACGTTCTGGGCAAAAAGGCTGGTGTACCAGTTGGCCTGGAGGTTCGAGTCCCAGCCGTTGTCGAGGTGGATCATGATCTTGGGCTTGGGGCTCAGGGTCGAGTCCTTGATGCCGTAGGCGGCCGAGTTGAGGAGCTTGGCGACGTTGTACCAGTTGGACGTCTTGCCCGTGTTGAAGAGCAGACCCGCACGGATCTCGTTTCCGATGGAGATGATGGCGGGCGGGACGCCGGCCTTTTGGAAGGCGTTGCTGACGTCCATGGTGTAGTTGTAGAGCCTCCAGCTGAGGTTCTCGATATCAGAGGGCCATCCGGACGGGATGGCCTGCTTGGTCGGGTCGGCCCAGGTGTCGCTGAAGTGCAGGGTGAGGTAGACGGAGAGGCCGGCCGCTTTTGCGCGCTTGGCGAGGGCGAGGTTGTAGTCGAGGTTGTAGTCGCCGTTGGACGGGTTCACCCAGACGCGCTGGCGGACCGAGTTGACGCCGGCGTTCTTGAAGATGGTCTCGAGAGCTTGGGAGGTGCCGGCACTGCTCTTGTATTTGATGCCGGCCTTCTCCTCGATGGTCGTCGAGGACCAGTCGACACCCTTGTAGGTCAGGGCGGCGTTGGCCGTGGAGAGGGCGAGGAGGAAGACGGAGGCGAGGGAGGCGAGCATCTTGGGCAACGACGATCGACCGACGATGACGATGGTGCTAGTATCGGAACTCTCTGATCAAAGTGAATGGAGAGAAAGGGAGACAGCAAAGGCCGCTCTCAGCGTAAAGAAGAAGACTGGCAAAGCATGAGTAAAGCTTCCCTCTCTTTCTCTCCTTCTTCATGAAATTCCTGCTCCCAAGCGTGGTATATACTCCTTCCTCCACCTCTCTCTTGTTGGTGCCCCCTTTCCGGAGCATCAGCTAGACAGACCCGTCCCGTCCCTTCGTCTAATTGACGGGATCCTACGAACCCATCTCTTGGAAATCCCCGCTTCAATAGTCACCGGAAGCAAATACTCACCAGCAATCAGCAGGCGACACCAGACGAAATGTAACCCTGGTATAGCCTCCCCCGGTCACAACACCCGTCAGACTAACAAGACAAAGAGGAGCCGACAGGCATGCGTCTGCTTCATCCATATTGCCCAGTCCATCCTCTGTACTACACTACAGTACTCGGCTACGGCAGAGAAGGGACGAGCCGCTTCTGTTTGCTTACCAAACACTGCCAAAGCCAACTGCCAGCCCGGCCAGCCACAGCCACAGCCAACAAGAAGCAACCCAACCCAGCTTTTGACTAGACTATACTCGATTTCCTCGTCCTTGCCAGTTGGCGGTGGAGAGCTTGACGTTTCATCGCGCAACTCCTTGGTCAGGGAAGAACTGGCGACTCCTCCAATCATGGCCTATTTTCCCCACCCTTTCTTGCCCATTCTGTCAACTTGGCCCAACTTGGCGAACCTAGGCCACCCCCTTCGTTTGCTGCTGGGAGCCTGGGACTCTGGGAGGGCAGCAAGCGAGCTGCGCCCCTCAACTCTCTGGCGTAGCGGGCACTCAGGTGATCCAGCCGCCCTCTTCGGCGTCAATAAACCCGCTCTTTTCAATATAAGTGCCGTCTGCCGCTCCGGAAAGTCGTCAGCCAAAAGTGCGGGTCATAAGAGAAGGCCCGAGCTGGTCGGAGGAGTGGCTTGCGTACCCGAGATGACAGGTCGAACAGCTTCATCCCTGGTCTGTTTCAGTTTCCGAGATCGCCCTTTGAAAGAGGAAGAGGAAAAGGAAGAGAACGAAACATTGTGTTCGGAAGCCGTTGGCGCGAGCTTTGCCTCACACGTGGTACCCTTTTCCCCAAGGTTTACACTAGAATCGATGGCGGCTATCGCTGCTTTCCGGTTAGAACGGAAGAGCCTTCTTTATTTTGGTTTTTTGTGCTGACATTTCGACAGGGGGGATGTTGAAATAAGCTTGGTCCGGAGCCATGATCCGAACACCTGCAACTTATCCCCGAGCGCAGCTTTAGCGAATGCCCATCCTCATGTCCGACTTATCAAATTCTCCGGGCTTATCGAGAACGCGGAGAAGGGCAATTATCTGCCTCATAATTCATTCATTGTCGAAACACAATCAATCGGAAAATGATCAAATATTCATCCTTATCATTACTTCAGCCCAACATTCGACGCACCCTATGAATATTCAGATATCCAATACTGAAAGTTAGAGTGTGACGTGTTGATCGGAATACCATCCGAGTTGAGATGACAGCCGTCGGCGCTAACTTCTTCTTTGACCAAGCTGGGGTGGTGCAACATCGTCACGAGGGCAGCAATTTCTCGCCCAATACGGAGCACACTACATTACCCCGGGAAACGGGACTCGGCTCGCTTCGTCGCTGCAGCCCATCCCGCACCATGTGTCTCTGTGTGTGTGACTGTGACCTCGCTGCTTCTTTTCGAACGTTTGCCGTGGATCGTGATGTCGGCAGGTCAGCTACGTGCAGCAATAGCGGGCAGCCGCAAAAAAAAACAGATTAGCAGTGGCCCGTGGGGCTCCAACGATGGGATGCGCGCCAATGACGCATCGTCAAGTTGCCCCAGAACAAAACCACTAGCCCCGGATTCCGGCTCTTTTCGAGAATGGATTCGTGGAAACTTCATGATCCTGGGGCGGCTGGCTGGCTGTCACTTTGTTAAAGTTTTTCTTCGTCTTTACCCCACGATTGTTACCCCACTAGATGATGTCTTTCTCTTTCTCAACCTGCAGTTCATCGAGGATGCGGGATGATGTTGGCAGTGAAACCGGTTGGCTTGTGACAACCGGTTCCATGGAAGCTTCTCGATGCCGTGGTAGTTGTTGTCGAGGGCACTAGATCAATAGATGAACCTAGCCTAGTGAGTTGACAACTGTCAAGGCGGTCTTCTACGGGCATTGGATGTCTCCCGAGTAGCATCTCGTCCGTATGGTAGCTATGGGGCAAAGGGGCCGGGTAAACAAATAGGCGACCTTCCCAATACGACCAGCCTCCGGATCCCGTTCTCTCAGTCCGAGAAAGGAGAGTCGGGATGCTGAGGCGTGAGATGAGCGAGGGACAACTCTGCCTAGGCATACTCGATTGAGACACTCACTGCCGGCGGGATCTTGGGTTACTGGGAGTGGGTAATGCTAAGATTTAGAAAGCCCTTCAAGAGAAACCGATGACCCAACCTTGGCTTGGTCTCAGCAAGCTCGCCGCCGACAGAACTGACGTTGACTGCAAGCTTTTACAGCGGCAGCTAATAATTTCGCAAGCTGTCAGGAATGCTGCTGAACTATCAAAGCCTCTTGACCAAGGTTTCCGCGCACGCGGTCTCCCAAGACGAAGAACAGGACACTCGAACACAAAACGCTTACATCTAGCTGACTGATTTTCAACTCTCGCGATAATACATCCTTACCCGAACACAGAATACGAGTCGTCCACTGATAATCCCAGAACCTGCTCTCTTATTGTTCCAGCTCAATTCACGTGGTCGCACTCGAGGTTTACGAACAGAACACTCAAATCGGACGTTGCTCAGCCCCATGGCGAATCCGGTCATCAAATCCTTACACCACGGTCATCCCTCCTGCCGGGCCCAAAAGCCCGAGCCGCCCTCTTCACTGACGTCTCAAGGATGAACGTCTCTTGATCACGGTTTTCTAAATACACGTGGTCATGCAGGTTCACGAACAGGACACTCAAAACGGAACTACTTTACCAAAGTAACTATGACTGAACTGGTTTGGCCGCTCATCCATTCTCTTACATGAGGCTATCCCTAACCGCCGGAAAAATCCAAAGTACGAGTCGTCCACTGACGTCCCAAGCTTGGGCAAACTCTAAAAACCAAGACAACAAACGTTGGAACCACTGCCGAGCGAACATCGCTATTTGATACAAACCCAACCCCGAGGTTCTGGGGTTCTACCCACAGCCCACCGTCAAAGTCAACCTTCCTATGCCCGTCGTGACAAGACCGAAAATATCACCCGGCACTTGAAATCTACACACCTTGACGGGAGTATCAAGTCGCAGGGACGGGGTTCAACATTTCTTGAATACGTAAACTACTCTCCAACAGAACGAGCTCGGCATAGAAACCTCCTTCATTCCCGAAACATACCCCCACGACCACCGCTATGCGCCGCAAGTCAAGCCCAGTCACGCACGGCAGATCTTTGTTGCTTCCTCGCAGGTTCACCCGCGGGTCAAATGATTCATCCCACTCTATGCCGAAGGACCACGGAGCCCAACCTAATCACCGACTCCGATGGTCACCCCCGATGCCCGCTTAAACCGCTTGGCCGCTCGCTACCTACCCACAGCCGCAACCAACTATCCAAACCGCCTTCGGGGGTGACCCCATATAATCCTCCATTCGCCACACCGAAACCCCCGTCCTCCGGTCCCCCCGAGTCAAGCAATACCGGAGGCGTCGTCACCTCCACTTCCCTGAGGTAGGTAGCTTCACGCGGAGAGGAACCTCCTGTGTCTCGACTCTTGCCTCCATTCCCCTACTATCCCCGTTCTCCGCCTCTCCTGCGGCGCTCCGCGGCCCCGACAACAAGTCAACGTCCTTGAGCCCCATTTTCCCGCTTTCCCTTCACGGTCGGGCGTATCGAAGCGGGGAGGCTTCCCCGATGATTCTCTTCTTGTCCATAAACGGACAGTATACTATTTATATCCACATGCCCAGAGTTCAGGTTAGAAGACTACTCTCAACCCGTGCCTGTCATATGTCAAGCACCCATCAGCCAACTCCAGCTTTCTCTCCCAACTTTCCCTTCATTCGGGCACCCACATGCTTGAGGACCTCCTCTCATCAACAGTGGGTGTACACACAAAGGCCCCCTCGTCTCAAGTGAAAGGAATCCAGACCTCGCTTCTCTGAAGAAGGCCAGGGCCTGGGGAACCTCGGCAACAGACAACCGACAGACAGGGCACAACGGTCGAGAGAAGCCTAGAGGGGGCAAGAAACACAGATCGGCCAGATCTACCGTAACCAAAAAGCTAAGATGGAACAGCCCCTACGAAAAAGAAAAGACGGATCATGGTTCAGTAAGCCTCGATACCAGCGGTAAGACCTGCCTTGGAAACACTCTACTGGAAGAGCTTGCGGCAAAAGAGAGATAGAGACACACACGCACACACACACACACAGAGAGAGAGAGAGAGAGAGAGAGAGAGAGAACCTTGGAAAGGTGCGGCACAGGACCGGCCGGCCGGCAGACGTCAATCACATGGCGCGCATGAACATTGACTTGGCCGCCCCTCGGCATCGCCAAAAAGAGAGTGTGTCGGGAAAACTCGTCCGAACTGAGCAAACAACATCATCTAACTACCGGTAAGCAGCTGTCAAATCTTGTATGCAAGCAGATGGCATATTTGGCTAGGCAAGCACATGGCCGGGACAATCCAACGTCTGTTCGTCTCTTTTCAGGGGTGGTCCCTCGTCACAGGGAAAACTTGTCCGGCCTTGTTTTCATTTCTCAAAAAAGTCCAATCCGTGATGTCATCAAATTCATATGCTAGAAATGTGTCAAAGATATGCTCTGCCTGAGCTGTCCTGGCTGTAGAACCCCGCTATCAGCCGTTGTATGATATCCGAGAAAAAAAACACCGTACCCATCCATTCCCGCGAAAATGCTTGACCACAGTCCCTCATAAAATCCTGACCCATATGTGTTGTGATGATGATAGATCCTCGTCTCGTCCTTTCCTCTGAACGGCCTGTGGTCCGCAAGGAGACAAGTAAAGTCGAAACAAAAGTGGCCTGTCTATGCGTAATGCCTTCCGTCCAGAGGTTACCCACCCGCAGCCTTGCCACATGAAACTCCTACTATCCGTGACTCCTACCATTTCATTCTTATGTACACTTCTCGCGCCGTCAAGATCGGCCAATCTAAGCATTCGCCAATCTGGAGGTTGCGTGATCCCATACGTCGAGTGTGTCTGCGTAATAGCCAGCTGTTGCGCTTACACTGCGTTCGCCGGGACTGTGATGCCCGTCACCGGGATTTGCTGTGCTTTCTGAAAAACACCAGTCAGAATTTCGATGTGGTTCACAAAGGACTCGGCAGTCATGTTGTGGCCCTTTTCTGCCTTGCTTTCCTCGGTAACCCAGTCGGAACCCCAGACTTCTGGTGGAATGATGGTGTTCTTGTAGAGTGCAATCCGCACGGGCCACTCAAGATGCTCCCACCAAGGGCTTGTGGCTTCAAACTGGGAGACAATGCCCATGACTTCTCTGCGAGCAACACCATCTAGCCACCACACTGCTGACTCGAATCCTTTCAGCAGCGCGAAGAAGCAAGCAAGTATCGTCAGGGCGCGAGGTCGACGCTCTTCTAGCAATTCAATGAAGCGCTTTGACACGGTGGCGGGGAAAGCGAGGGCGGCGCCGCGATGAGGCAATTTGTGTGCCCAGTTGAGAACGGCGATAGCATGCTGGTACGATTGCCTAGTTGACATAGCCATAAGAGTGTCTTCGGTTTGAAGCTCCTCGTCCAAGTTGTCGAGCAACTTTCCAAAGAAAGAGGTGGGCGAGGTCGCATCGAGATCCAGCTGGAGGACGGGTTGCGAGTCGATGATGGGAATGACAACGCCGCTATTGCGAATCCAAGGCCAAGATGTTGCCACGACCGTTTTGACACCCTGGAAAGCGTGGAACCAAGAAAGTGGTAGAGAGTAGGCGCTTGAAGGGTCGCTCGGGTCGGCTTCGTCGCGGATAAAGATTCGTGTAGCTGTTGACTGGAAAGCAATCAGAGCTGCTGTGAGGAAGAGAGACTCTGCGTTGGCCTCAGTAATGCCGTTTTGCAAAGTTGTGCAATATGCCGCTAGCGAAGATGCCATGTACGAATGAGATGCTCTGATGAGGGCCCTGTCGTCTGGATTAAAAGAGCGCAGGTGTAATGCAGCAACGGCAAGCATAGCATCCGCCAGGTAGGTGGCACCGCCGAAGGCCAGCCTCGGAACCGTGTTTGTCCAAATATCCTGCGTGGCGGGTGTGTTCACCACTAGCGTACGGGAGGTCATGGAAGTGAATTGGTGCATCAACCGTAACTCGAGAAGTCGATTATTAGGTGTCGTCGTGGCAGATACGGCAGCAGTAGAAGGAGTGGTGTAGAGCGGTGAGCAGTTCATGGCAGGTGGTGAGCCAGAAAAAGAGGGAGTCTTTGCCCGGTGTGCTGATGGGGATGGTGCTGTGGACGAGGCTCTGTCAATGGGAGACTGTGACGATTGGGTATTCGAGGGTGTGAGGGCGGTGAGGAGTTCGTCGAACATGTCGGGGTTCTCGAAGTCGCACGGCACGCCGTGCTTGAGGCAGTTGCCGCACCTTGGGTGGACCTCATCGCACTATCAGGTTGCCAATGTCAGCCAACATAGGCATACTTTGTAAAGGCGACCGGAAGCGAAGTCTGTAGAGGGGCGACAGTACCTTGATCTTGCGCGACTTGCAACGCTTGCAGCCGGCTCTCGACTTTTTGTGTGATCTTCTCGGAGGCATGTTGGCGACAGTTGAGGATGTTGACGATCGGGTGCCAAAGCAGTGATCAGGTTGGCGGGGTCCCACTCTATAAGGTGAGCGTGGGTTGGTCTTCACGTGTCGTCAACTGGGGGGTCAATGTTGACGTCGACGTCTGTGTCTCGTGGGGGCTCAAATATAAGGGGCCGAGGAGCATGACAGGAAGGCAATCTTATTGACGTGGTGCAGGTGTGGAAGAAAGCTGGGGGCGGGGTTGTCTTTAAGGTGTTGACAGGCGCCAAGGGCAGTTGAATGAGGCAGATGGGAATGGAAGGAAGAAAAGAAATGAAGTGAATGATGGTGTCGAAGTTTCGGGGTAGACTGGCTAAGTTGTAGTTGTGGAGATTGACGATTCGGGGTTCGAGGGACCGGGGGCCCGGGGATATGCGTGTTGCGTTTGCGCTGTTGTGGGCCCAAGTGCTGGTCCTTTCTCTTTATGGGACCGTCAACTCCGTACGGATACCCAAAAATCAACAAAACAATAAGACCAGAAAGGGAATCCGTATCGCAAGAGCAAGAGAGCAACTTGTTATGAGGAGACAGAGGACGGACCAGGCCCAAAGCTTGGACCAAAGTACTGGCAGTGCTGGGTGCAAGTGCCTTTTGTGAGGTGTAAGCAGTGGAGGCAAATAAAAGAAGGTAGGGTTTGAGTTGAAGCAAGGAAGAGCAATCAAGGTAAGGTTGGGAGAAGTCGAGTTGAACGCCGGGCTGGTTGTAACATCCAGGTTGTTGCAGTCAAGGTGACGAGGTGTGTCAATATCGGCGTCGGGGGAGGCTGGGGGTCGGGGAACGGTGTCAAAGTCACAAGTTTTGATTCTTTCTTTCTTGTCTGAAGAATGGAAAGACGTTTCCCCCCCTTCCCGTCTAGCGTTGAACGGTTATGTTGTGGTTGCCCGCTGATTGCTGTGCTGTCGTGGGGCAGAATGGAAGGAGAAGGAGGTGCAGTGGGGAATGGCCCGGATGGGGAGCAGAGTCACTGACATTTGCGGCCGTGGGCCGTGAGCTGCGGGCTGCGGGCTGTGCAGCCTGCCCTCCACACTGACCGAATCGAGTTGCGGCGAATTGTCAACTCAGACCCCACAGTAATACCAGAGGTACCTCTTAACCTTGTTGCCGGACGGATAGGCAGGTACAAGTCCGTCTCTCCTTAACGCCGTACAATTGGCAAGTACCTTACTTCCTACCGGGTAAAACTCCAGCTACGCATGGGACTTTACGTCTGTCACCGTCATGCTCCGCCACGCCATAGTCCACACTGACAAGATCCACACCTTGCTCTCACACAACACTACCACAATCCGTAAGGATACACAGTCCGACAATCAGACCAAAATCCGCGGAGCCGACGACATCAACAAGGAAAACGGATTAACAGGATCGACGGGCGAATACCTAACCAACACGCATAGCTGCAGTCTACGGAGAGCATACGTATATGCTACGAACCTTCGGAGTATAGAATGTAGCCACTAGGGCTAATGCACAACTTTCCTGACCCCTGCAGCCCCCCAAGTACTTTCACAGGCGGCTCAACATGGGGAATTCTTGCTGCGGATAAAAGTCCCTATGAATTCTACGCCGAGAATATCCCAAAGTACACACATTGGGGTATCAATCGTCCATCGTGTCACCTACCTCGAACTGCCTGACATGTGCGCTCGCTCACGTTCAGCATTCACAACCAGTCCCGTGCCTACGCCTACTGAGGACTACACTTTGAATAAGGTACGAGGTACGGAGTACGAACCCGACAAGTCATCTTCATCGGACCCGGTCCCCGTCCGCTGTGGCCAACACACCGACCAGCTGGGCAGCAGCAGCAAGAGCAAGGCAGTAAGACCGAATAGGGCAGGGTTCAAAGTCCAAACGTCACAGTCAAATACCCCATGGCTTTTGCAACGTCTACCTACCACCCTGCGTGCCCACCGCAACGACCACAACGGGTACCGTTTCCCACTGACAGAGCAAGAACTGCGCCGTGCGTTCTTTTCCCTACAAGAAAGTCCCTTACCATGCAGTGGACAGTGGAGGACTAACAGTCCGCGGTGTCCCCGCTTGGGCGTTTCGCTTCTTGATGGACGAGTAGAGACGACAAGGCCGAGAAGCTGCGAGATTGGTCGGCATGACCCCACGACGAGACAACCTCCCACACGGAGCGGGCGGGTGAGCGGACGGATCGGAGGAGAGCGCCTGCGAGCTTACGCCAGTTGTCTCTGTCAAACAGAAACCCTCACTTCTTGTCGTTCTCGTTGTCGCCTCTGGTTGCCGGAAGACTAATGGTAGGGTAGGGTAAGATGTCAAATCATCCCTCAGCCCTGCTCTCAGTGCCAGCACCAACATCGCCTGGTATCCTTTTCAAAACACTTTCTACCTCCGACTCCTCTTTTCCTCCGGCATCTTTGCCGGCGAGAGAGGAAAAATTCAAAATCTGAAGTTTCCTCCAACATGAGTCGGGGGCAAGGGATGACGAGCGTGCATGGTCCGGGCAGATTGTAGAACACACAGAGATTGCCCGACGGTGAAGCCGGGCAGATAGGCCAAACGTCAGACGAACGAAATTCATGAACCCGACTCCGCGTTGTCCATCCTCGTGGAAAACCCGCCGAACCCCGTCCGTTGGACCTTTGCAGCCTCATTTGCTTCTCTTTAACAGCTTAAGCATTACGCACGGCTCACGAGACATGCAACCGCAGCGACGCGTCAACTGGCTATCAAGTGCTGCAAAGGATATGTCGGCAGATGAACATTGTCGACGCGCTGGTTCCCATATACAGTTGTTGCATCGCCACGAGCTCTTGTTTCCAAGGTGTGGCGCCCGTTGAACTTATCAAATCCATGTTTAATTGGGCAAAACGTTCCGTCGATAATCGCCAACCAATATGATCTGCGATCTACAAGTGTGTGGAAACCTAGCATAGGACGGGATGGGATGTCCTCCAAGGTTGAATGGCGGCGACCATGGTCGAATCAAAGAGCTCCAAGAGCTCGCGGGCGTGGTGTGCGCGCAGGAACCCTATACCTGCCATTGGGTCGGAGTCCAGGCCATCCGAGGGGTGTGACGGGAAGGAAAGGGGGCTGACGTAGATCTGAAGGAGGCTTGGACACCTCTTTTCCTTGCCGTCGATTAAGCCGCACATGCAAGGCATGTCGATTGAAACAATCCTGGGGTCTTGCATGGAGCTGGCGTGAGGAGGGAACCAAGAGCAGTTTGGGTGATGCGGCCGGCATCTAGCACATGAGGCAAGGCTAGATACGCAAACATACGGAGCGTACAGCAACAATAACCGCCGGCCGCCGGAGAGGAGGTAAGGAGGGTTTCTAGAAGAACCCTCCTATCAAAGATGAAAAAGAGCCAAGCCTTTCATGGTTGATGTCGCACATGGGCTTGCCCACAGACATTGCTTGGGACAACCCCGGACTGGCGGGGACGCTACCGACTTCCCCCCCGCGGCTTGTCCGCTGTTCCGACCACCGGATGGAACGTTGACAAGACGCTTGACAAGAATGATGCAATTCTAGGTTGGAGGGGTCGATAGCGTCCGGGGCCGCGGATGGCATTGATTCATCGGAGTCGGATTACAGGCCGAAGAGCCAACAACGATGATCCGGCCAGCTCAATCCGTCGTTGACTGTCACGAGCATGGACAATTGGTTCGCAATCAGCAATGCAACGGCTATCCTGCAGGGTTGGAAGGGTTTGGGAGTTGGTGCTCTTTTCGGGCCTAGTGCCATTGCCGCTTCAAGTCTGTCTCACCCGAGAGAACACTCGATTGAAGTGAGCAAAACATCGGTTGAAATGCACTTTGCTCCAAGGTAACTAACCTCAAAGTTGACTCTCACGAGACTTACAGGTTCCAGGTTTGACCGCTTGCTAAGTGCATTACCTAGTCGAATGCGCCGGAAAAGAAGCGAGGGCCTCGGCCAGTGTAGCCACGCATTGAGCCGAAAGCAACCCTTTGTGACATCCAACCGAGTCAACTGGCGCTGAGATCAGCAAACTCATAAGTCGCATCTGCAGGTTCGCCCGCTAGTTCACAAATTGGAAACGTGGTTATCCACCAATTCGAAGGAAGGGCTGCTGAGTGTAGCTGATTGACGGCTCCTGACAGAAGCCTTTGAGCAACTACCAACTTTATACGCTCTTGGCATTCTTCGACATGTGAACTGTAGCGTACAGATCTGTAACTGTAAGCTCAGTCGATTATCGATCTCGATTAGTCGGTAGAGCAACGAGTTGTGGATGTTTACGGACTATACCTTAGCCACTTCACCCACCAGTTCACTCGCGACACCAGCCTCTTCGGGTCCATCCAAAGGGGGCCATGTAACAAGGTAGGCAACTATACGGCTTTTCACATCGGACTTCATCTGAAGCTTACTCTCTGATAGCTTGCGGCTGACGAAATATACTCCACAGTCGATGCTAGCCAAGCTGAATAGTCAGTCCCGGAGAAATGAAGCACGATATTTGGACGACGCGCCATTTGGTCGACAGTATCGTAACCTCTTGGGGCGATCCTCCCAAATAATTTCCAGGTCACTCGTGAGAGGGGTACCTCTGCGGGGGAATATCACTCATTACTCCATTACGAGTATCGAATTGTATTCAACGGGATATTTTGCAGCTATCTCTGCCAGCGGCTCTCGAGGTGTCACTGCCAATTGTTTCGTTGAAGCAAGACGTGAAGGCTAGCAGAGAGGTAAAGGCAACGCAAAGCTGAGCCTTGGAATTTTGTCTCAGAGTTGAAAAGCCTTTGTGGACGCGCCGTGCATGCCTTTTCATACCTAGAATCAGTATTCAAGATGACACTGGCATCGCCGACAGTGCATACAAGGTATGTAAAAGGGCGTCGTTATGAGTATTGTTTGGATGACTGCGCATAGCAAGGCCGCGGACCTTTCGTTTGAAAGGGGCAATCGGTTATTCGGACTTAGCGTTTCGTCTAACAAGTTGTTTCCAATTGCTTTCAAACTCTGGTCCTTCACTTATGGCGTCTGCGCCTTTGACATATAGAGAACAGATAGACGCGGTACCGTCGTCTAAGAATATGGTCCATCGAGAGAGCTGAGTCCGCCAAGACGGCACGGCATTTCTGCAATGATCGGCGATAGACGGAAGGGCGCGAACGGCCGGTTCTGTATGATTGTACTCCGTACTATGCTGTCACGCAGGCATGTTCGTTCTGCGGCCTGCCAGTTTTGAGAAGGGTTGACTTTTAACCTTGACATACAAGGACGCCCAAGCCGGAGAGCAGGGTGGACCCAGTACCAAAAAAAGCAACACTTCCCAAAGGAGAAAAGGGCCGTGATCGCCGCCAGCGCCTGTACTGTGGGTGCAGAGCTTCGAACAAGGTTTCGAGACAACGTTTTAGTGACAGACTAATTTTCTTCGTGGGCGTAGGGCTGGCCGGCTATCCTTGCGCAGTCCGAGCGAGCATGGAGGGCGGCACAGACGATAGGATGAAGGGGAGTCTTTTCTCTAACGCGAGTCGCTCGTAAAGAGGCCAAGTGTCGTAACGTACCCGTGTGTGGCTAGGTAAGTTGATAATGGAAGGTATCCGTAAGGTAAGGTAGGTTAGTGGTGGTGTTTGAGTGAGCCTAGACGGGCAAAAGGCACCAACCAGCTCTACAAAAGTAAGGTAGGCTGTGTATGAACCCAGGCAGATCAATTTGTAAGAAAGAATGGGACCTAGAGGGCGAACACACACCTTAACGTGACCTCTACGGGCCCTACGTACTCACCTTTACCTACCAATTCGCAATTACTCCCGCAGAATTGGCTATGCTGGATGGACGACCAGGGAACATGGTCGCAATAGTCCGACAGTCTGGCAGACGGGGAAGAAACAACTGGGAGACCTATACGCGAAAGACCTTCCGAATTGGGCCGAGCTGTGCCCGTGGTCTCGTGGCCTTGTTTTGTTGACGATGCGCTGTCGAAGGGGGGCGGTTGGAAGTTTCGTTTTTATTCTTTTGCTGCGACCCAGATGTAACATGTGAAAACGCTCACAAGCCCCCCCTTTCCCTCCCCAAATCCGTAGATGGAACTCATTTCCCTTGAGCTGTCCCAATGGCATGGGTAAGCTTAGGCGAATTCCCTCCTTCTTCCTCCCTGCCCCCTTGCGCACCCCAGCGCGCGCCCGCCCGGGTATTTGTCACTTTTCCCAGCCAGAGGATCTGAGAAGAAAAACAACCCCAAGCCTGTCAAACTCGGCCGCTGGCCCGTTTTAACGCGTCTACGACGCTTGCATTGTTTTGGTGTGTGGCAGGGATTGGTGAGTGTGTTGACAGTTTTTCTCGACGTGAAAGCTTGTTGTGTGTGCGGTGTAGTACAAGGTGAGTGTAAGGCAGGGAGTTGGGGTGAGGAGGCGGCTGTCTGGGAGCCGGAGGGGTGGTGATGGTGTGGTGGACTATCTATCATACTATCTAATACCTTACCTGTCCGTACAGTAATACAGTAAGGTAGGATGAGGTGGTGTGTGGTTGTCCGCCAGAGAAAACCTTGAGCTTCGCTTTCTGAGGTAGCACGGTGGTTGTTGGGGTTCGAGATAGGATATTGTAAGCGGTTGCATTAGTCAGGAGAGTGGGAAAGAAAGCGAGGAGGAAATGGATTATGAAGCCTGTACGCAGTACGTAGGGCCGAAGCTGGCCGCCGCTTGTGCCGAGCCGGGTTTCTTGTACCCCACCTTTCCGCAGTTCTCCCGGCCGCTCTGCTCTATTAGGTCCCCCCCCGTTCGGCCTTGAGTTTCTTCCCCGGTACTGGCCAATCTCTGGTGCGCAATGATACCACATGCAGCTTGCAGCTTTCTTCCACCTCACCATGCCTTATCTTTCGAGGTACAGCAAAAAAAAAATCCCCATACAAAAACTCGATATGTCAGCAATGCGGACCTGCGGAGCCAAGACCCCGAAAAAAGGACCCTGTTACGGAATTGTGTGCCGCAACGGTTGACACTTGCCTCAAGGTGCCCATGCCATGGTGTGCGCTACTAAGGTGTTGTCAGCAAAGGCAGCTTACGGATACATACCTACCAGTCGAGGCAGGTAGTATTACCTTGGTCGGCGAAAAGGGAAAGAAAAAAAAAAGGACAGCGACAGGCAAACTCTACATTGTGCATCATTGGGATTTGTGATGACGGAAGCTCATCGAACCACGTTTGCTCATCAAATTTTCAGCTCCAGCTCGTTCTCAGGCTTTCAGCCTGCGCCCTGTTCAATCGCGTCAGCTTCTAGCAGGAGGCGGTGTGTGCTTGGGGAATCTTTTGACATGTTTGAAATCGAAGGCGTCATCCAGGGGGAAACCGAGATATAAAATGTGATTTCATATGAACCTCTGCCCATTTCTGAGCTCTACACTACCTTACCTTGCCTTGCCTTACACAGTTACACTACTGCGTAGCCCCTCCACACACGTATCTTGGACCTTCCCGATCACTCCGATCACTCCGATCGAAAACCCTGGGGAATCCCTCGAGCACCTCATCACCTGCCTACAAGAGCTCAGTGCCTGGCATAGCTCCGGATTGCGCCATCCTCAACCATCCACGCAAAGCTGCAACCCGTGCGAATAATCGGGAGTCATTGGACCAGTTCGTTCTTCCCTGCTCGCAGACCGCCAGTCTCCGCCAAACAAACCCCGGTACCTCAACGTGCCCCTCCAAGACAAGGGCGCAAAGTAAATAAGACCAGAGGTTGACGATAATCAGAAACAACAAGCCACCGAAAACGTCTCTCTCAGCCCGTCTAGACACCTCAGCTACCACCCCCAACCACCAAAATCAGCCCATTGACTCACCAAAACCAGACCGTCTTGGTCAGCAGGCGCGCGATTGCGTGATTGATTCCTACTTACCAATTCGGAGCTTGGGGCATCCCCGACACAAAGCACCGTCGTCTTTTTCGGTCACCGGAGTGTAGCGGGGCAATTTCCACCTTAAACATCCTACCGAGACTCGAGCTACTTTTTTTTTTTACTCTTCATAACGTAACAAACTACAAGAAAAAAACGACCCCGCGACTCGACTCGGTTACCGTCGACTTTATTTCGCACAAACCCCGAGACGTAGCCCGGATATTTTTCTCTCGAGCCTACTTTTTTTCTTCTTCTTCATCCTTCTTTCTGCATTTTCTAGATACCCTCGACTCTTCATCCTTTCTTCTCACTTCAGAAGATAGTCGCAATCTATTACCCCGCCAAAGCTCTTCTTATCACGAAACAACGAACCCCTCCATCGCAAGTTTCGCAACAATGACCGTCCCCGTCGCCGAGCATCCCATCGAGACCCCTCCGCGGGCGCCCTCGCCCGTCCACAACTTCGGCACCCTCGCCGTCCACGCCGGCTCCCCCCACGACCCCGTCACCGGCGCCGTCATCGAGCCAATCTCCCTCTCCACGACCTTCGCCCAGACCAGCGTCGGCAAGCCCGTCGGCGTCTACGAGTACTCGCGCTCCAGCAACCCCAACCGCGACAACTTTGAGCAGGCCGTCGCCGCCCTCGAGCACGCAAAATACGCCCTCGCCTTCTCCTCCGGCTCCGCCACCACCGCCGTCGTCCTCCAATCCCTCGCCGCCGGCTCCCACGTCATCTCTGTCTCGGACGTCTACGGCGGCACCCACCGCTACTTCACCCAGGTCGCCAAAGCCCACGGCGTAAAAGTCACCTTCACTCCGGAAATCGAGGTCGACATCTCGGCCCACATCACCCCGGCCACCAAGCTCGTCTGGATCGAGAGCCCCTCCAACCCGACCCTCCGCCTCGTCGACGTCCGCGCCGTCGTCACCCAGGCCCACCAGCACGGCATCATGGTCGTCGTCGACAACACCTTCCTCTCCCCCTACGTCCAGAACCCCCTCGACCTCGGCGCCGACATCGTCGTCCACTCCGTCACAAAGTACATCAACGGCCACTCGGACGTCGTCATGGGCGTCGCGGCCTTCAACTCCCCGGACCTCAAGCAACGCCTCGGCTTCCTCCAAAACGCAATCGGCGCCGTCCCCTCCGCCTTTGACTGCTGGCTCGCCCACCGCGGCCTCAAGACCCTCCACCTCCGCGCCCGCGAGGCCTCCGCCAACGCCACCGCCGTCGCCACCGCCCTCGAGGCCTCGGACAACGTCATCGCCGTCAACTACCCCGGCCTCGACTCCCACCCGCACCGCGCCATCGCCAAGAAGCAGCACCGCAACGGCATGGGCGGCGGCATGCTCTCCTTCCGCATCAAGGGCGGCCACGCCGCCGCCGAGCGCTTCTGCCAGCTCACCCGCATCTTCACCCTCGCCGAGTCCCTCGGCGGCGTAGAGTCCCTCGTCGAGGTGCCCAGCAGCATGACCCACGCCGGTATCCCCAAGGACCAGCGCGAGGCCGTCGGCGTCTTTGACGACCTCGTCCGCATCAGCTGCGGCGTCGAGGACGCAGAGGACCTGCGCCGCGATGTCCTGCAGGCCCTCGACAAGGCCGTCGCGGAGCAGAAGAACGGCTCCAACGGCGTCAACGGTCACTAGACTAGCTAGAGAGAGAGAGAGAGAGAGAGGCGCATTTCTTGACATTTTGGATGGAACTTTATTCTACGAAAGCAATCTAGAATTCAGTTCGCCTGTTTTCTAAAGGGAGGGTGGCTGCATTCGATTTGGGAATTATCTTACGAGCTAGAGACGGAAAAGGCCATCGACTACCGCTAGCATTATGACCGAAACATCATCATCATATATAAAGGAGGGTTTCAAAAAAAGGAGCATTAGGCATAGTAAGCAATTGAAATTTTCTAGAACAGGGCTGGAGGGGTATAATGAAGAAGAAGAATGGTAGCACACACTCTACCAGAGAAACCATTTGACCAGCTTGCCATCGCTGCTATTAGGAAGCAAAATTTCGTGTCGTTCAAACGCTTGGCCGCGACCAATCCATCCATGTCTTTGAGAACATTTCAAAAAGAACAGTCCGTGTAATGTTGACAAAGTCGTACAATGCCACTCAGTAGCCTACCCATTATGTGCAACGTCTCGGGAAACTCCATCACTCCTCTGCAAAGTTCAGATTCAGCAGATTCTCTGCCAGGTTTCCTCCGCCGCCGCCACCATTCTCGCCATCACCGGCTCCGCCTTCGCCCCCTTCCCCTTGGCCGGCGTGCTCATTGCGCTGCCTCTGGATCTCATTCATGCCCTGGCAAGCAGTCTCGGCAATGTAGTGAAGTTCTTCGAGGGTGCCGCTATTGCAGTTGGGGAAAACGCCGTCGATGCTGCGTTGCCAACCGCTCGTGGAGTTCCGCACCGCCGTCTGGTAGGCATTAACGTCGTACTCTGTGACCCGCAACGCGCGTGTTCTAGGCCGCATCTGAGTGAGGAGGTAGTCGTTGGAGGCCAGAGCCGGCAGGTAGGACACGGGTGAGCCGTCCGACTGCGGCGGCTGGTAGTAGCCCAGTGCCACTTCGACGAAGCGCTGCGCGATGGAGCGGCCGAGCCCGCAGGGGTCAATGAAGTCGAAATCGGGGGATGAGGGCGCGGGTGACGGAGGCAGATCGTCACGGGTGTATAGGTCGTAGCCGAGGAATGAAGCACGGCACGTCTGGAGCTTCGGGCACGACTCCCGGATGATCATGGCCATCCAGTCATCGTGGAGACCAGGCCGCTGATTCGGCAGACCAACCCATAGGATTTCCTTTGAGTCTTCGTTGAGGTTATGACCCTGTTCCGCTTTCAGATAGACCTCATTGAGGTACAGCTCGCGTAGGGTCTGGCCAAAGTTGCGTGCGGCGCATCGAAGGACATCCGGTGTGATTTCGACGCGCTTCAGTTCGAGGGCCGTCAGGCATGGAAGCGTTATCGGTGGAGAGGGAAGCGCGCGGGCCCTCCACTCGTCTATCGTCATGTTCCAGGCTTTTGTTTGCTTGAGGCCTCTGGGTGGACGGTCGTCGTCGGTGCCGGACAGACAAAGGGTCTGTAGAACCTCAGCATTGTGGATTAGATCCCATAGACAAGTACCGTAAAAGGCCACGCGTGGAGGATCGACTTCATGACGACGGAAGGATATTACTAGGTGCTCGAGTTGGAGGATGGCGCGCATGATGGCAAGGACATCGGACGGGTTGGTCCATAGGTCGACAATAGCTTGGTCAGACACGTTCTCCAGCACAAGTGTTTTGAGTGAAAGAGAGTCCTCCGGGCGGCGGGAGAAGGCGGAGAAGGTGTTCGCGAGAATCATTGTTGCAGCATTGCAGCGGTGGCCGACGAGCTGAAAGGGGAGGTTCAGGCGTAGTGAGGAAACAAATTGGCAGTTGAATAGTATTGATTCGAGGGTATGACGGTAGTCCAGCGTTGTGAAGCTAGCAGGTGACATGCAGTACTGGCGTTGGAGTGTCTGGACGAAGTGCTTCATCGAGGGTATTCGATCGAAGATGGTTGACAGAAATTCTACTTCCACTATTGGTGAATCAGCAACAATTCGCGAACTCGGGACGGTGTTCTAGCTTACACTCATCGCGCAATACCATCAAGTCAATGTACATGGACTTGCAGTGGTATCCAATTGTCTGAAGAGAATCGATATCCGGCTGCCGCCGCCGGCTGTTCTTGCTGAGACGGCTGAATTCGAGGGCGATTGTCCTCAATGCGAAGGGCTTTAGGAAGCGGTCGAAGGCCCTGCATACGAGACGCAGGTCCAGGATGTGATTTCGGGGTGATAAAGCGACGCATTGCCGGAGGATCGCATCGATCAGCTCGCGGGGAAGCGACTCCATCGCGGGATCGTGGGAGGGAAGCTCCGGCAAGGCGTGGAAATAGTTCTCGGGGTTCTCCTAGGGGTCCAATGCGCGATACGGAGCCCCGCTGCTCTGACTCTGCCGAAAAGTTGACGATGAGAAATACAGTACGGGGTTCGCAGACTACTCGAGTCTCGTTGCGGAGGCGGATCGTTCGAATCGGTCGTGAAGTGGTGGTTGATGAGGGTCGGATTGGGAGATTGTAGGTTATCAAGATGAGTGTTGACAATCAAGTTGGCGGTCGGAACCTGGACGGATCCTGTCCAAGGCGGAACAAGAAGCGGACGGTGATAGGGAGCTTGGGGCACCCGAGGTGTCACTTCAGGCAGTTGCAGCGCAACGTGCGCTAAGGCCGACAAGGGTTCAGTCACTAGGGTCCCCGCATCTTTACCTTATCATTCCAAGTTCAGTGGACGTCTTGCAACACCATGGACCTGATACTTTCGAAAATCCTGGGAGTCGACGTGGACTTCGATTTATCAAAGCAGTGATATCCACTTGCTTCTGAAAAGCTATCATAGATGGCACTCGTTTCCCCTCAACATTGAGCATCGGTACTTCAGCTCCTTCGGCACGGCATCATCCGCAAACTTTCGTGCTACCTTAGCTCCTGCATGCTCTTAGACCCCATGACACCGACATGTGCTTTTGTCTCATCGCGCCGTTTGCGAAAGCTCCGACTCAGTCCTCCCAGTTGTAACGCTTAGCAAACCACTTGACAAAGTAGACCAGTCCAAGAAGCACCGGCACTTCGATGAGCGGCCCGACAGTTGTGGCAAGGGCTTCGTCCGACTCTGGCCCGTACGCCGCGACCGCGATCGCGATGGCTAGCTCAAAGTTGTTGCTGGCCGCCGTGAAGGCCTGGGTGCATGCGAGGCCGTAGCGGAATCCCAGTCTGCGAGCGACGAGCAGGGTCGCCGAGAAAATGACGGAGAAGTAGACCACCAGCGGCGCCGCCACTCGCACCACGGAGACGATTTGATGGACGACTTGGGAGCCCTGAGAGGCGAAGAGGACGATGATGGTGTACAGAAGACCGATGAGTGACCAAGGGGCCAGAAAAGGTATGACCTTGCTGTTGTAGGTGTCGACCCCCGTGGTGTAGACCAGTGACAGCCGCGTGAGGATGGCCGCACCAAGAGGAATGCCAAGAAAGATGCCAACTGCTGAGGCCACTGTCGAGTAAGAGATAGATGAGATACTGTAGTCTTGACCTATTACTCGAATGAAGAGCAGGGCGACAGGGGCGAAGAGGACGATTTGCAGAAAAGAGTTGACTGCCACGAGAATCGCGCAGTAGTTTCCATCTCCTCTTGCCTGCAACCAACAGTGTCAGCATACCTTGGGCGTATAAGTTATCCCTAGCGATGTTCTTACCAGGCTTGTCCAAATCAGCACCATGGCGATGCACCTTGCGACTCCAACAAGAATCAAGCCGTTTCTGAGACCCTGCTTGTCCGGTAGGAACGCCCACGATAAGGCAAGCTAAGCCTTTTGTGTTAGCAGCTATTCGATACTGTCTTTGGAAGCATGGAAGGCTGACCATAAATAACGGTGCCACTATCCAGTTGAGGATAATGCTGAAGCCGAGTTGGATCCAAATCTCTCTCGTACGGAAGATGGTGTGTAGTTTCTCATACTGCACCTTGCACAATATGGGGTACATCATCACCAGCAGACCAACGGCTAGAGTCTATAAGCATAACGTATTGAAGAGCCGGTTGAGTCAGAACTTACCTATCGGCACAGAGACGCCAGCAAACTTACCCTGTTGCAGCGCTGGCCTGGCATTGGGTACAAAGTTTCCAAGGAGAATGCCAATCAACATGGCGAGAAAGATCCAGACGGCTAGAAACCGATCAAGAATACCGAGAGACTTGAAGACTGAGGGACCTTGTTCGCACGTGGATTCGATAGACTGTTGCTGCTCGACATCTCGATTTGTACCATGTTCACTCGGTTTCTCAACCTGGTTTCCGTCTGTTTTCACTCTCAGATCCTGCATATTGCTGGGGGGAGTACTAGACGTTACAAGTACTATGAAAATGAACCAAGTATGAAGGAAATCCAAAACATAGATTTCGTGATTTTTTTTTTGTAATCTTCTGAGGTAGTCAATTTTGGAATTCTTGAAGTCTTCTTCTATGAGAGCTACTGGGAATAGGAAGGGGTGGGCACCTCATGCTTGAGGGTTTCCCACTAAAGGCGAGTCTTTCAATTCTGACCAATCAGAGGAGAGGGGTGACATTTCATTGAAGAAGAAACCGCACCGACTGATTTTCCCGCTTGAAGAGACTTCGCGCTGCCGTTCAGCTCGGGACGAAAATGGTTTACCCAATCACCGCGCCATCTGAGTTGTTGGTCTGAAGCCGGACTCACAACTATTCCAGTCCGAGACTTGATTAGTTCAGGTGCCTTTCGGTGCCGAAGCTCTTTGAACCCCGACGACGGTGATAGTTGGCATAGGCAATCATGCAAAGCTTGCAAGAACACTTTCCGTCTACTTGCCTGCTTGCATTCGTCATAGAAGAGTTGCTCTATGATCAGCTATTGCTGTGGACTCAAACATGAATATGAATGGCCCTTTTGGTATCAACCAGGAAGAGATCGTGCGGCGTTGAACTTTGCGACTAGCAGAGCGAGAGGTTGTGTATTTCCGGAATGCCAATGATCCGCGACAACTCCTTGGATGCGAGAGACAGGAAACGGAATGATTCTCGTCTTCAAAACTGTGATCTAAGATGTCGACTTGTTCAGAAGTCAGCTCTGTGTTGTTCTGCTAGCTCCAAATTTTCATCTGATTGACTTTGGCATGCACACGGGCCGGAATCTTCAGCCCCAGCCTCATTCATGCGTTATATCGATTAGTTGACAAAATACTGAAGCTCTGTAGGCTATAGTTCATCATGCATTCGAAACCACTGGACCCCTTAATTTGGGCATATAAACAACTCGCTCGCAAGGAGTTCCTGTGTAGTTTGCAAAGTGTGGAAAGAACAGATACTGCGCCTCAGCTCTTCCTCTCGAAGCACGGAGGGGATATCCTTAGGGTGCTGACCATATGAATGACTTAGGGCGAAAAGTAACGAGACCTTCACGTGCACTTAACCAGATGGTATAATTGCAACTGCTAGCAATGGAGAAAACACATGGCCATCCAGTCTACCTTACATGTTGAGCCTCGCTGTGGAGGCTGTGCTTTGGTGAGGCTGTTTGATTCAGGCAGAAAGTCGGTACATGAGGTGACTACTTAGTCATGTTGATCCAAGCTACCACCGCTATCGTTGAGAGTAAGTGACTGATCTTACGATCTCAGCCAAGTTACTAACTCATGTCTCCCCGCGATCGTCAACAAGCTAATTTCCCCCGCAGGTTTTCTCATGCATTCCTCAATCGGACACGGCAACGGAGCCGGCGGAGGCTTGGGACATCCCAGCTCCGATAGTAGGCAGGTGTACCGGCCAACGTCGCGACTTCCAGGTTGGAACACGACCATGGATTTAGGCGGGGCGGCTTTAGGTGTCGGGCCGAGAAACCTCCCGAGCTTGCTGTGCCCTCCATCCCGTGCCCACCTGCCTCAATCCTCATGATAAAATTTTCTTCAGCCTGCCAACTTGCCTGCAACTTTGTCCTTCCCTCACAACCACATTATCCGTCAACCGACCTCCAAAGCCGGTACCGCGACTGCGATTCACCTCAAATCATCCGCGTTGTTTGCACTGGACGGTTGGTCCGACGATGTGACGTGGGCTGTGGGACGCGATTTCGCCATTCGCAACGTCGTCATTCTCATATCAGCAAAGCGCCAACCTCAACGAGATGACGAGCGGTGCCATCTCCAAATGATGATGGGCATCCTCGATCTCCTCTTGCGGCGCGCTCCTGCATCCTTTCCCGCAACTTGGGCGTTTCTACCGCTTCGAAACCTCGGGAACCATCAGACCAAGCATCCCACCATCATTTGTCGCACCCCCATGCCGCATTGGTGTCGTTTCGGATTGATCTTCCCCACGAGGAGCGCAGTCTTGGGTCGCATTTCAGACGCGCGTGCACAATCGGCGCATCGCAAGTGTGAGGCGGTTACGCACAATGTGTTACTTTTCGAATATCGGAAAACGTCTCGCAGAGCGCGACAAAAATCTGCTAACCAACCTGCCAGCTTTCGTGATATCCGTCCCTTTTGGACACAGGCATTAGTGTGTACAGCAATGGGCTTCTCTCTGTGCCATTCTTGCTGAAGGAAAATTTCATCGTGCCAAGATCAAACTCTGCCCTTCTATTACCAAGCACCTACGTCGCTCTTTATCCGATAGCTCTGGTGCATGAAGTAAAGGCAACATTTTGTCAAACTATGCCTGAACATGGTATTTGCCCGAACCATGGACTTTGCGCATCCGAAATACCACAGTTGGACGCGTCTTTTCCAGCGGCCGACCTATTGCCAAGTTCTCGGTGGAAATGTCTCGAATCCGTTCGGACAAGCCTCAAATGAAGCCAAATGTGGACTCCACATCAATCTGCCCGGTTCCATTTCTGCTGCCCGGACTGCCCGGCTCACCGCCAACATGAAGTCAAGGCGATGCGAGCAGCGAGCAAGGGATTTGATACCGCCCGCCCGCGTATCGGCCACATTGCAGGCTTGCGCTACGGGACTGCGACCAGTCGCGACGGCAGAGATTTCAGCTTACATGTCCTGGCCAGGGTTGGAAAAAATACTACTAGTATTTAGTATTAGTCTAGTCTAGTACTAGTAAGTCTAGTATTAGTCCACCCTTTAAAATACTAGACTAGTATTAGTATAGCTAGTACTAGACTAGACTAGTATTAGTATACTAATAGTATACTAATTAGTATAAAATATACTATTTATAGTAATTTTATTACTATTTTTAGAAATTTAAATATTAGTTTTTATTAATTCTAAAAAGAATCTAAAAAATATAATATAAAATATTTCTATAGTAAATATAAGTAAAACTATTTAATTAAAAAATATCTATAGTTTAATTTTTAAATTCCTAAAAAGAATTAATAAGAAACTAATATTTTAAGAATATTTTATCTAAGTAATAATATTTAAGCTTTTAAAACTATATAAAAGAAGCTTTTAATAGTTTTATTTTAATATATATTAATACTTATAATTAATTATTAATTATAAATTTATAAAGAATTTTTCTAATATATACTAATTAGTATACTAATACTAGTCTAGTATAGTATTAGTCCAGGCCGTACTAGACTAGCCTAGTATTAGTCCTAGCCGTACTAGACTAGCCTAGTATTAGTCCTGGCCATACTAGACTAGACTAGACTAATTTCCAACCCTGGTCCTGGCGGCCATGATCTGATGGCGAGCGTGTCTGCCGGTGGGGACAGTCACTCAGGGGAACGCTATGCCTAATTCGCTTGTCTGCTAATATTGAAGCTGATGACAGATCCAGAGATACGGCTCCTTAGGACTTGGCCGCAAGGCTAAGTGCAAGTTCCTAACTTCCTCCTTTTGAGGCGGAGCTCAGCATGAGGATGACTGCCTGGAAAGGAGCGCCATCCGGGTCCACGAGCCTCGCTCACGGACGCTGTTTAATCTCTTCGAGTCGCCGCACCTTTCTTCTTCTTTCGTTCTTCCGACTTTCTTTTTTACCCCGAGGTCGCGCTCTCAAGTCTGCTACTTACGGATACCTAGCAGAAGAAATTCAACTATGGTTCATCCAGCGGAACCCAAACAGATTGTTGATGGGGCCGATTGGCAGACTGGGCAGGCGCCTCTATTCCTGGAGAACACCATTTACCTAGGACCCTGCCTGAAAGGAAGCCCAAGGAAGATCGGAGGATTCGGAGAGCAAGACGGACCCCTCCTAGCAGCCCTGAAAGCTGGCAGGGCAAGGCCCACGAGTCCCCTTCCCTGGGCGATGATGGCATAAGCCGCGTTGGGATACAGGTGGGAAGGTTATTGGCGAGCTAACGTTCCCACTCCCGGACAGGGGGGCATAGCAACGGGGCATGGCAATTCGAGCAAAGTCAGGAATTGCGATGTGCGATGCTTGACAGCTGACAAGCGGAACCACATTGGATGATGCCCTGCTGGCAGTCGCACAACGATTCCAGGCACTCTAATCCAGTGTAGATCGATGCATACCGGCGAAGCAAGCACGCAAGCCACCGGCGTATGACGATGGCACGAGACGGTACTTTAGCATTATGAGCCGAGACACTTTCATTCTTCCCGGCTTACCGTTCATGTGGAGGGAGAACAAAGTTTTTGTCTTTTTGTGCTTTGGAGCACGGGATATCCTCCCGCGAATTCCAACGGCGACGGCCCTGCACAGCTGAAAGGACAATGGGAACACTGGGAATTACTGGCCCCTGCGTACCGGTGACGCGCGCCTGGCTACTCGAATATGGGCCGCCAAACAGCCACAACTCCCAAGATGGGAATAATGTGGCGCGTTGGCAAACGCCAGAAGCGGAACTTTGAGTCGAACGGGGCGTACAATTTCATTACCGCCGTTACCCTCGATGCTCAAGGCGCTTTCACTAGTGGGAATGCACAAAGTGTAAATTGGTCGGATGCGCGGGAACATGATCAAACCCGAATCGGACATCTTGTCAGGCGACTCTCACACTTGCCAATTGCCCGCCATGGACAGATACATCTTGGAAGTTGGAACTGCCGCCATTATCTTCCTGCCTGCAGCCTGCAGGGGCCTTTCATCTGGCTGCAGATGCGCACATGCAGCTGCAGCAGCGCTTCAATATCGGCCGAATTACAGCAGGATGGCACGGTGGGCTGGAGAGAGAGAGCCCCCACGCACGCCATGCGCCCATCCCGAAGTGTTGCGAGTCGTGATACTTGCGGCGTTCTGTTCCAGCGTCCACGGTACCCTGCCGAGTACCGATGAAGCGAAGCGGGTCAAGCAACGGTCGACTCGTTTGATCTCCCTCAGGTGTTGGCTCCTAAGTACCTTATTATCGAAGAAAGTTAATTCTTTCTAAGTTATAAATATAAGAATATAGTTTTAATAAAATAGTATAGTACTTACTTAGTACTTAAATTAAAATACTTTTTTAAGCTTATTATAAAAAAAAAATAACTATATTATTAACTACTTATTATCGAGGTTTATAATTAGTACTATAGTTTTAATTATAATAACTTTACTTATAATAAATAAAAAGTCTAATTATAAGTCCTTTAAAAGCCTCTTTTTAAGGGCTATAAGAGCCTCTAAGTTAAGTTAAAATACTTATTAAAATATTAATAACTAAACTAACCTTATAATAACGGCTTTAATAAAAAAACTAAAAAACGAACTAAAAAATAATACTAAAATCCTCGCTAATATTAAATATAATTTATAAAAAGTAATAACGTAGCCGTAGAGTATTAATAATATATTTTATATTAAAAAGACTATTATTAATATTAATAAAATAAATAGGGCCGTATTAATATAGTACTTTAGCTTCTTTTTATAACTCGAGGATAATTATTTTAAATAGTATTAAAAATTTATTAAAAAGCTTTTTTAAGTACTTTAGTATATTTATTACTATTTTTATAATAATAAGATTCCTAATACTTATATATAAGAGTAAGTTACTTATTTTTAAATAATAGTATTAGCTTATTAATAAGCTATTAAAACTACGATTTTAGTAATCCCTTAACAAGGGAGAGGGTAGAATAAAAGAAAGGATAAATAACTTATAAAAAGGGTTAAGGTTAAATAGTACGGAATTCGAGGGCAGGGTAGCGTCTATATGTACTGCGGCAATCCTCTAGTAATACAAAACGATGGAGTTAAACAGTGCAGGTGTTGGCTCCCTCGCCTTGTTGTGCGCTGAGCCAGGAGGCCCCAGGACAAGGCCAGACGAAAATCGCCCGAACACATTGTCAGAACTTGGCGCCCTGAGAGAGACTTGGAGAGGGTCGGGGGAAGTTTGTCTTGACGGTCGAGCGTTTGCAGATGTCAGCTATCAAGGCTATCATGCAGAACGCGCGACTCGCACCACGCCCGTCCGTTCGACACATTTATTCAGAATGTTCTGTGCGTACCGAACGTATTACTAACTCAGGGGCTTTTTCTCACTGTCAATGCCAATGTTGAGAGTTGGACAGCAGCTGCTAGCTCTGCGCCTTCCCACTAAAACGCCGTACCGCTCTCGTGAATGCTAGCACGAAAGAGAAAGAAAGAAGAAGAAAAAACGGAAGAAAACGCTGGACGAATCCCCTCTCGATCGGTGAGACACCGCTGAGTGAAGAGCCGATGGGACCGGCCGCCGAAGCGTGAACGCTTTAGTCTTAGCCAGGGGCAGTCCTGAAGGGGGCGGACACGTAGAACAAGCTTGAAAGACAAGCCATCCGTCCCGCGGGTAGATCCCCCTCTCCCCTCTAACACTTCAAAGACGACTGACGTGGTGTAGTGGGAGGATTGAGCGCGCACAGGTCTCAGACTCAGGTCAGGTCGGTCCCTCGAGTTCGTCGCGAAGGGGATTGGGTGCGTTTGAGAGAGAGTAAAAGCGCGTCTCCTACTGATACTTCATAGGGTCTAGAGACTCGGAGATGCGGTATCATGATTAAGGTACGTGCTGGTCGGAATGTGCACAATGACTAGCGGCTCGTTTGAACAGCTGGACACATGTGCTGTTGAACAAAAGTCGGAACAATGGGAGGGCGTTTCCAGTACGAGTTGGTACGAGTACGGGAACACTGATCATAGGCACACAATGAACGAGCAGCTTCTCCTCCCCGCCCGCTCCTTGCAGGCATCTCGTGTCTCTCTCGGCCAGCAGAGCTGCCGTGGGCCAAGGCAGGTTTTCTTGTCTTTTTCTAGCTGTCTCTGATTTTCCTGGGACGGCACTGGTAGAAAGGGGAGGGAAAAGGCGGGTACCCTCGTTCGTATTAATCCCCGCTGGCGCTGGCGTTGCGGCGATCATCCACCCCGTCAAACCCATCCGTGGACCATGGAATCCATGATCCAACGCGCCAAAAGAGAGGAGCCCCTCCCCTCGTCACCCCGTCTAGCTTCGATCCATCCTGTTATCCGTACCGTAGTCCGTAGAGATACGGGAAGGGAGGAGGTTGGGCTTTTGTTGGCACATGTACAGGTACATTGATGAACACCTTTACTTTTTTTTTTTTGTCAGGTATTTTGGCGACGGAAGTGTTGCACGGCCGCACATCTTACACGCGTTCAAACATTTCGCGCGGGAAGGGAAAAAAGGGAGTGAATTG